TTTGGTTTGACATCTACTTTGTCCAGTATTAGAATAGCTATGTCTGCCTATGTTTACTTTCTCAGATCTATTAATAGGTCTACCACACTCCAGTAGAACGTTCCAACAAAATATGGACAGTGAAAATTAGACTCAATAGGATTTTTACAAAAAGGACACAAAGTTGTATAGGGAAGGAGGGAGTAAATATGTCTTTAACACTTGGAGACCCTCGCCCAAGAACCAAGTCCGAGCCACTGGATGCAAGAGCAGGAGGCAATTTTTATTGTTCACACAGGGCCTGTGGGTGCTGCAGTCATGTGGAGGACTGAGTGCCCTGGGCTGGGTTTGGGGCAGATTATATGGGGTTGGGGTAGGCAGAAGCAGACATACAGAAGCAGATCATAGTTACAGGGGTCTCATTGGTCAATTTTAATGAGGCCATGAGGTCATGCCTGAGACAGGGTGTTGGCTCTCTGCTGGGTGCATAACAGCTATGTTGGCAATTTGGGGACTTTCCGTTCCTCTCCCTTAATCTTTCATATGCGGGTGACACATCTCCTGGTGCCTGATCGCAAATATCCTGTTTGTGCAGACTTGGCAATATCATCTGTGATCTTATTATGAGCCCTAGTTCTTAGTTCAAGCCTTGCTATAAAATGGCGTTACAGCAGCTAAGCCAGGCGGGGGTCTTTCACACTAAGATAAACAGGCTCAGAAACTGTTGTGATTCAGTCTCTCATTTGCCATCCTTTGGCCCTTCTATCTACTGCCCACCTACACAGATGCCAGCTCATTCCCAATAGCCTCATTTTCCTGGAGTGTCTTCATGGAGTGACTTTATTTTAACAAATCCAACTCATTTGAGCTTGAAATCATCTGATATGTGACGCTTTCCTTGACCTGCTTCTCTTTCTCACACCTTTCCTGGCCTGTGTGTCGTTCCATGGACTTCCATACCACCTGTGTTCTCTCTCACATTCTGATATAATTGTGCATTTCCTCAGCCATTCCAAGGGCCAGATGCTGCATTTTATTCATTTCTAAAGTGATTTCTTTCCTATCTTGTGAGAGACCTTTCACCCAAAAAAGGGTTATGAGCCATGAAAAAAGAACATGGAACTAAGTTCAGCTTCAAAATCAACAAGTGCCTAGATGTTCCCCTAGATAAGTTCAAACAGAATATTTTGTGGTTTTTCTTGGAAGAACTCCCTGTCTAGCCACCCCCCCCCCGCCAACTGGAACATCCCCAATGGTACCGATGGTAACCTTTAACCTAACCAATCAAATAGTGCCATATGCATGAAGATAATTCTGTGATTTTTGCCTTTTAAAAAAGCTTGTAACTGCTGGAGGGGGCTTCTTCTGTCTGCTTGGGTGGAGGAGCCTGTTTGAGCAAACGCAAAATAAATCCTCTTGTTTGTTTCATTGGCTAGTCTGGAATCTGGGTCTTTGGGAGGACTACCCTAAAGTGTTAGTATCCCAGAGCTGGGTTCTAACACTTGTATGCCTGATAAAATGTTTAGTTCTCAGTATGTTTATGTAGTGTCCTTAGAATCAATAAATTCAAAGATAAATGAAAATATGATGTCCTTTGCTCTTCTTTTGGGCGAAGGAGAGTGCGATCATGAAGTACACCTTAATGCATATTTTAAGACATTTTAGCCTTTATCTTTTTGGTGTGAAAGCAATTAAAAGACAGGCATCAGCACAAGGCACCCAAAACCAAGTTCCCAGTACAAAGGAGATTTATCTGTCCCAGAGGGACAGAGTGCCAAGATAAGGCACAAAGACAGGAGACAGAGGATGAGGAAGAAGGAAAAAGGAACAAGAGTGAGGGGGAAGGGCTATCTGACCCAGAGGGACAAAGGAGTGCCTCTGCCTAGAGAGGAGACAGACATGGCTCACACAAATGACAGCTTATAAAGGTAACAGGGGAAATCCTGAATTCGGATGAGGTGTTTAATTTTAATTGGGCATAGGTGGCCGAAGGGGTTTCTGATGGCTGGACTTCAATACTTTAATAACTGGACCTTGGTAGTCAGCCTCAGGAGGAGTAAGTGGCCAAATAAGGGAATAGATTTTGGTGGTTAGCTTTAGTAATCTAAAGGTTTTTTTTAGCAAGAAAGAGGATATGGGGGAAGGGCAAGGTCTGCTAGAGAGAGCCCTGTTTGTCATGTTTGGGTCTGCTAGCACCCCTTTTAGGAAAAAAAATTAATATTTTTAAAGGAGTCAGGATCTTATAAAGTTTAAGCTTCTTAAAGCCTCCTTGTACAGTTTTTAAACATGTTTTAAGGCAGCACATGAAGTCAGGGTTTCTATAAATTTCCACACTGTACTTTTCTTGTTTCCCTTCTCTCCATCCTCCAATTGCCCAGCTATACTTCGACTGTTTGTTGTGTGACAAAACTTTACTTGGGAAGATGCAACACACATATATCTACAAACTCGAACTGTGGGTTGCAACCCCAAACCACCACAAAACACAGATATTTCCATTATAATTCATCACAGTAGCAAATTTACAATTATTTAGTAGCAGCAAAGATAATTTTATGGTTGAGGGTCGCCACAACATGAGGAATTATAGTAAAGAGTCATAGCATTAGGAAGGTTGAGAACCACTGTAGCCAGCTGGGAAGACCGTGGAAGAGCACAGTAGAGAAACCATCGAAGTCCAATTTGGTGAATCAATGAGTTATATTGGGGTTACTTAACAAGAGTATGGCTGAGGGAGTTACTTACAGGATTAGAAATGACTCAAAGGAAGTTGCATTATCAAGGCCCATCCCAACATAGTTGACAATTCCCAGAAGCTAGGAACCTGAAGCACACTGCACAGCCTACAGGCATCTCAGCATTCAAAGTGTCCCTTCCAAACCATTCAGTGGATCCAAAACTCTTCCAGGGATCTCGATTGATATGTATTTCTTCAAGGCCCTTGGCCTGGGTCTCAGACTTTTCCCCCCTATTTTTGTTTGAGAGTCTTCTTTAAGGCTTGGTTTGTTTACTCTGGCAGAGAGGGAGGGACTTAGTAGGTCTTATCAGTTTCAGGGACTTTCTGAAGCTATTTTGAGTTGTTTACCTTCCTACTTAAGGAACTTCCCTTCTGGACAGAATGTTGCAATCTAGGAGGAAACTGTTACACAACAATGGTCTTTTTCCAAATTTAGTGTTTTCAATGAAGAATTCTGTATTTACCCTTGCTATTTATTAAAACCTATTCTTCTTATTATGATGCCTGTTAATCACAATTTACCAGGTTCTGCTGCAATGTTACAGTAGATGCAGATACCACATTGATCACATCCATTCTCCTTTTTCCTCTTGCCACCATTCTAGCATTCTTCCTAGTTAGCAATTTTTCTTCTTCAAGTTGATTATTCAAGATATTTTAAAAATTCCACACACAAGAAAGAACACAAGATATTTGCCTTTCTGTGTCTGGCTTATTTCACCTAACAAGGACATCTAGTTTCTTTCATTTTGTTACAGTTATTTCATCCTGCTTTGTGGCTAAATAATACTCCATCTGTTAGAGGTGCCTAAGCTGAATCAGTGAGCAGTGCAGTGATGAAGACAAGCAGGTAGGTATGACCTCTGTGTTGTGACTTCGTTTCCTTTAGGAAGATGCCAAGCAGTAGTTGGATTAGATGGTAGCACCAATTTTAGTTGTTTGAAGAATCTCTACACTGTAAGCATTTTTTTTCAAAAATAAATGTAGCCTTTATTACCAAGTAATAAAATAAAAGCCATAATTATCCATAGCACAGGGCAGCAGGATGAAGTGATTAAATGAATAGTGTTACATTCTCTGGGAGGGAAACGGTTTTAAGAATTACAGTGCCTGGCATTTTAGTGCTTGAAAATAAAAATCCAAATACGTCTTAGGCTGAACTAGGAACTGGTAGAAGAAAGAAATGGCTTGAATAAATGTGTGGGCTAAGAGGGCCTCAAGGTCTGTTAATCACAGCTCCAGAGGTTAACACAGGAGGATCTATAGTTCAAGGTCAGCCTGAGCTAGGATAAATCTGTTTTTGGTTTGTTTATTTTTTTAAAATGAGGGAACCTAGACGTTTCCTGGTCAAAAGAGAGCTTCTGGTGAAATAATAGAAAAAAGAATGGCAGTAAAAACACAGGAGTGGCCCCTAGAGTCTTGTCTTAGATTTTTAGTTAAATTACTACAGGATAAAAGAGAAGTTAGAAAGCTAGGCATGTAGTTCATGCCAGGAATCCCAGCATTCAGGAGGCTAACTTAGGACAGCCACAGCCAGGCCCCATTTCAAAAGACAGACAGTGAAGTAGCAGCCACCTGCTGTGTGTGAGGCTGTGATCACAAGCACTTGGGAGGTAAGGGCAGGGAGGGGGGGGGGGATCTCAAGTTCAAGGTCATTCTCAGCTACCTGGGAAGTTCAAAGCCAAAGGGGGAGAGAGAGAGAGAGAGAGAGAGAGAGAGAGAGAGAGAGAGAGAGAGAGAGAGAGAGA